GGACCCGTCTGGCTGTACTGGTACGTAATTCCCCCCTTCCCTTCTCCTGATTCACGGATCGGCGCCCTGGTGCGCTCCAGTTTTCGCGAGCTGTTTCATTTAAATGCGAATGCGTCGAGCGTGGCCATGCAACAAGTGGCACGGAGGATGCTCTTGCATGCGGGACAGGTGGTAGCGAGGCTCCAGGAGTCCCCCGAATGTTCTCTCCTGTGTTCTCGACTTTTCGAAAGGTTCAGTCGAACGCAACATATTAACTAAAAATAAGAGAAAAGAGAGAAGAGAGAGAGGGAGGGAAGAGAGAGAGAGAGAGAGAGAGAGAGAGAGAGAGAGAGAGAGAGAGAGAGAGAGAGAGGAGAGAGAGAGAGAAGTGTCCACTTCTATCAGTGTAAATTAATCTTGATTTCATTTACGTTTTATCTTCTTTTTCTTCTGTCTCGAGAATTAGAATAAGTGAATTAAACCGAGAAAGTTAATCTCAGTCCACGTTGGTAGAAATGGACAGGAGACGATGTCCACTCCATCGAATTTAGATTTGACACCGTGATTGTAACTTTCGAAGTAGCCTCGATTCAATAATCAACAGCTGTGAGCAACTCTTATTGATGTATATCGCTTTTGTAAAATAGTTATGCAAACATGATAATACATATTGGTAATACATTTGGTAATACATATCGTTATATAAGTGGTAGAACGTGATTTATTTTCGCTTTCAATATATTGAATATAGTATTAAAAAGAAGCTCATTTCGTAATAATATTTATAATAAATTGTCAAATATCACGAGTCAAAAAGATGAATTCATTAAATATAAATTAGAATAATGATGAATTGAATAATGTATATTATCAGGACATTATTAATATTTAATTTTATAATAAAATGATGGTTAAATCCACAATTAGTTTACATATCTTAAAAAGTAGTTTGAACACAATCTTTTTAACTTTGTAAAAGTAATTTCTTGAGAGAACTAAATTGAATCATAATTGGCACTAAGTCTCTTAAATGAATGTAAATGAACGCGTTTAGAAGGCATGAACAACTTTCGACTGAACTTTCGACTTGCGATTTTTACTTACTTTTTATCTAACATTATGTTAAATAAAGCAGTTAATGATCATTACTATTAAATATCTTATTTATGACATATTTATTATTTATTTATAACATATATATTATTAAGCAGTTTTAAATTTTATATTGTAAAGTATTTTTTATTATATTTGGAATTTGGAAAAACTAAGAATTAGCTGTTTCATTTTTCTAATGGAAAAATTATTCGTAAATATATGGACTGTAGGTTGAGAAACTTTCATCTGTACTCAGTATTCTATCAGTACATAATGTTTATCATGTTCGATAAAATACTTACTCCAAAGCTATCTCAAAAATTATCAATGCTTTTCTGGGAACTTATACCTAAGTATCTATAATTTCTTATACCTCTTATACCTCTGTATCTATAATTATTGACTTTGTTTATTTTTTTCGTAATTCTTAAGTTTTTACGATTCAGTTGACTACATCTTATATTTTTAACTTTTGATTTCACTTTTTTATGATGATTTATTTGAATTTATTATAGTTTTTGTATTTTATTCGGGAATGCTGAATTTTGCTATCTTTTTTTAGGCAGATATTTCTTATGTAACTCGCGAAATATTTATATATTCTGATTTGCTTATACGCACACACACACACACACACACGCGCGCGCGCGCGCGCGCACACACACATACACTTACATACTTTGTAAAAAGAATAAACGAGTTTCTCTTGACATTTTATCGCATTCGTTTCAGTTTCCTTTATTTTGATATTAACATTTTTTTTTAACTTTCTAATCGTGCATTGTATGATCCATATTTTATCACATATGTTTTTATGAGAAATTTGGATAATACATAAATTTGTATTGTAATTTTTTGATAAATTTTTTAAGATAGTTGAAGTAAAGTTGTTCTCATATATAAATTTCAAATCATTTTTTTAGATATCATCTATAAAAGAGATTTGTTTGTAATATATTTAATTTTATTATAATACATCTATCTAATTTTATATATTTAAATACAATGTATGTAAAACTTTAATTATGTTTTGCACAATATATGCGTTTTTATATATGTATAAAATTATTAATATTATGTTTGTGGCGGTTGGTATTATCGTGATTGCAGTTGCCTGCTGATATAACGGTAACACGCGATACATTAAATTTTTTATGAAGCATTTCTTGTATTTTAAGAATTTGACTATATTAAAAAACAGGATAAATAAAAATATAAAGAATTAATTTGTACGTTGTTGTAAATTTGTCAAAAATTATTTGCTTTTGTAATACATACGATTGTCCATAGAGGACACTATCCAAAGTTAATCTCCAGAGAAATTGCAATAAAATACCATTGATAACTATTAAACTACTACTATTAAAGACTAACAATTTCTTATAACAATTCATGTAATTGTTAAATTTATAATTTTAAAATATATGTTATTTTATTTTGGGTGAATATAACAATTTTAAATACGGCGATTAAAAATTTTATTTCAAAATATTTAGGAAAGAAAAAAAAGAAAATAAAATAATATGTTTAAAACTTTAATATTTTTTTCAGTATCTAGTATCTAGTATGAAGTTACAAGCAAAATTTAAATACAAAATATTAAATATAAAATTTAAATTTAAATACAAATAATACATTATAAATTCTACATTAAAATTACATTAATTTATATTAGCAAAAGCAAAGATTGCAGAGATGATAGTTTTAATTATGAAAGCAAATATTTTTTTGTTAATTTTTTCAGGTTATTTTTTTTAATATCTAAAATACGTGACGTTAAGTTTGTTCAAAAAGTACAGATTTTGATAAGAGACTTTATGAAATCTTCTTCTTTATTTTTTGGTTAAATATGTATATTAATGCAAAAATGATGTATGTTTTCAGTGGAGAATACGAAGACTATTGAGACGAGTGAAGTTGTAGATAAGGAGGAAACTAAAATGCAGATTAACGGCGATATCGGTGAGTTGAGATCTTGACTCTCTATTGACATATTTTTTTCTTATAATAAAGTATGAACGTAACTTTAATTAATTTCATATTCTTTATTAAATTATTCAATGATTCACGATAAAAAAATATAAACATAAAAATGCAAAATTGTCATTGAAAATTTTAATTAAATCTTTAATTTTTTTTTGTTATTGTTCACTTATTAATAGAATTGACAGAAATATATTTGTAGAAATGCTCTTATATACGTTTAAGCAACTTCGATATTTCTTAACAAAAAACAAATTATTTTAAATCTTTTAATCAAGATTTTTTTTATTTTGCGCTTATAAGAAAAATTTTTTTATCTATCTAATGAAATCTTTTATTTCACGTTTTTTGCTCAATGATCACGAAAAGAATATTCAAAGAGGATATTACATTCGAATAGTATTTTCACGATAGATTAAATTGTTCAGCAAGGAACATGGGAATTAAGGCTTTTATCGAAGATTTCTTTAGATATTCTCTAGAATTTGTTGGAAATTCCAGGATTTAGAACAAAAGAGCTCGCTGCTAATGATGAAATACCTATTTCGCTGAATTAGGTCGAAGAAAGAATGCTCGCTCGGAGAATGTTCATAATTTTGTTTTTGTCGCAACGCGTGAAAGCCGCAGGGAGAGAGATCCTTTGCGAGGGTCCATTGCCTGGCGAGATTATGTTAGCCATTATTATTCCGGCGAAATTTCCAGCTGTCGCTGACGTTCCCTTTTTTATCCTTATTCATAGATTCCATCATTCAAGAGATTGCTTCCGTGTCTTCCATCCCTCCATCCATGTCTCGAAACGGGTGGGTGAGCGATACGATTCTGATTTTAGGAACTTCGGGACTACAGGCAGTCGATAAGTAATGTCGGGGGCGAAATGTGGGGGCGTCGAAACGCTAAATTATGTCGGCGCCCACCGATTACTTTACCGTTCTGAAAGGGCGACCTTGACCTTGATCCGTCTCTCGCAGGCATCCGAAAAGTCCGCGTAATCTAACGTATAGCGTGTGGGCAACGGTGTGTTTCAGCTAAGCCAGAATCGACGCGTCGCGGTAGAGTAGATTCGCGTGTTGCACGCGATGCTCCCGAATGAGCAGAAAGTATCAAACTCGCACATGACGCTGATAAGAGGATTAGATGATATTCCGTATGAGAGGACACGTCGTGACTGGGAGATGAATCCGCATAGTCGATTGATTCCCTCGACACCTCGAGGTTTCGCGCTACGGCTGCGAATGTAATACGAATATCTTAATCTTGGAATAATCCGCGTTAGTCCGCTCGTATTTATCTCTTTATTGTTCTAGATATATTCTCGCGTGCGAATTAGAATAATCATGAAACGGTTCTTTTTTATTTTTTGAAACTATATATTAAACTGCATTGTTGGAAAAATGTACGGTAAGCGATATAAAAATATCGAAGGCGAAAATGAAATTTGTTTTGTGGCCACGAGCGAGATTTCGTTGTATCTTTTTTACCTAGGATTCTTGTTGAATAAAATTTTATCGGAGCATCAGAGATTTAAGCTGCGATTTACATCGCAGCGCATCGTGAAGCGCGGCGCGTGAGTTGCCGAAAGCAATTACGCAAATTTTTCGGCGGATCAGGACGGATCAGGACTCTCGCTCGCGATGAGAGTCGCAGTTTTAATACACCGTTTAAGATTAATACACTATCGCGATTAACGGTTAACGATTGCGTGCACAGTACGTATACGGACGGGCGGACGGGCGGGCGGCCGATATGCGTATTTCGAAGCCCGGTAGCCGAGCTTAAGCTTGCGCCGTTTGGCCGCCCTCGCTCTCCTTTTCTCCACTTGGCGGGTCGATGCGCTATCTCTCTCCGGCCTTCTCTCTCGCTCTCTCGCCCAACACCGAAGCCTCCCTTCCTCTTCCGCCGGGTTGCTCCCTAGATTCTCACTCATCCCCAGTGCGCGCATCGAACCCGTCCTGGACGAAAGTCTTTCCCGCTCCGTCGCACGTAGGACGCACGTTTCCTCATCCTGACGCTCTCGACGTTCTCGACGTTCTCGACTCGTTGCTCCATCGGACTCGTGATCGGTCGTCGCGTTTCCGGTTCCCGTGAGCATCGCGCGGGAGAACGTCGGTCACGATCATGCGAGCGATCGCTTGACGTGGGTGGATTTAGGGAGGATTAGTTTGGTGCATGTTTAATGGTGGTGTTCGCGGGAAGAGGAAGGAAATGTTCCGTGATCGATAAGGTCGATTGAAGGAAGCGAGGGAACAGAATTCTCACGGATGCTGGAGCGAAGAGCGCGATGGTAACGATGATAGATCGAGGACAGTCGCGCCTGGCGATCGTCTAAGGATATGGAAGTGGTTGGTAAATATGCGATCGCACTTAATCAAAACCAGCCGAGGATCCGCTGATAGATGATCAATGTGTGAGGATCACGAATGCAAGAGTCGAAGTGTCGGTAGCATCCGCGAAAGATGTTACAAAAATTCTTTTCACTTACCGCGTCACTCGCCGCACGCGGTTAAGATTAAACATTCTGAATCCCAATGAACGGAATATCTGGAATGGGTCGATTTTACGGACGAATTAATGGCGAATCTTAGAAAGAATAGATGGCATTTGTACCATTTTTAATTCTATAATTATCACGAACGTAAAATCACTAAAATTGTACTGAAATCGAAATATTCATATTAATGGCATTTTCGATGACCGCATTTTACGCTGTTATACCAGATAATGATTTTTTTCCCCTGATATTTTTCATCTTGTTTTTGCACGTATTATATTTATTTAATAGTTATTATTTTTTTAAAGTTCTTAACATTAAAAATATTATGAATTAAAATATTATGAATTAAAATTTACTGTACCGTGAACTATAAATTTCCTTTGGTAGAGATGATATCGCGGAAAAAGAGATAGAAAGCAATCGATGGCCGATAAATTGGAATAGTCAACGTTTGATATCGAGAAAGGACAGGATGAAACCGCGAATTGAAATTAAATGTAGGGAACGGTCCGAGATCGTTATTAGCATCGGATTTTCGATTTGTCTGAAGGAGGTTGGTCCCTCTCCGCCAACAAAGGCGCGGTTCAATTTCTCATTGGACCCTTCCAGCTCGCGAACTATCGATCAACCTCGCGCGTTTTGACGTATAAATAGAACCGTATTAATTTACACGTACAGAAACGGGCGAACGTCGACCGCGTCGCAGACAGAAATGGTTTTTATTTGATGAATCGGAATAACGAACGCGATATTTTGACGGCGACGCATCTTCCTTCCGCAGCCACCATCGCGCCTTTAGAAATATTCGCATCGATTCGTTAAAAGTTTCATCACCGTACGAAAAGTGAGGAGCAAACATGTTTACGGAAGATTAATGGAGACACGGTTTTTGTAAAGATATAACTTTATATTGCTATCTCAAGATTGTCATATTTACGTTGAAATACGAATACTAACATATTTCTTTTAAAAACATTTGTTTTTTAATAATAATCTATATACTAATAGTAGATAATTAATTTTGTATTATTCACTTAATGACAACATCATTTTTATTAAATAAATGGTAAATGGTAATAAATATCATGCAAGGCAATGAAAAATAATTTAAATATTATTTAATTAATTAAATATCATTTTAATTTGATTAGAGATATTATCCATCCAAGATATCATCCATTATCGATATTTTTTTACAAAGACTTTTAAAAAAATAATTAACGATATTACAATGAATAAACCATTAATAATTCTCGCATCGATATTTTCTATTTCAATGTCACTTACACGGCCGGATCTGAAGTTACGCTTTATTTCATGAATATTCATCGACGATATCATTTCAAATAATTTGAAATCGAAATTTTGCGCTAATTATATTGGGATTGATTTGCTATCTAGCAATAGCAACCAATGATAGCCATCAAAGCCGTCGCGCTTTCAATCGCCATGTAATATGTGTCCGTTCGGTTAGGTAATTGTATTGAGGTCAAACGTCGCCGTATCGAGTAACCGCTTGTTACGATTCAACTGTATTCGTATTGCCGCAATTTTCAGATGTATTTAACTTGCAATTTTCCAGCCGAGAGTATCTCATCACGTAGAAAGGAAAGTAAAGCGAGAGAAAGATAAAGGAAAGAAAGATTGCTTTGAAAAATTTGCTAATGTTGTCCCAGGAAATTACCTTCATTTTTGACCGTGTGGCAGAGAGAAATTTATCGACGCTTCGACTTTTCCATAAAATGAAAAATTCATACATGAAACGCGATCTTTTTCTTTCCAACCCTAAGATGCTACCGATCCATCGTCGTTCCGTCGCCATCGTTATTGGGTTTACGGTGAAGAAAACAGAATCCAGTGTCAGTGTAGCTTCATCGTATCAGGCTCGAGTCATGAAGGGATCCCACGAGAAACGCACGAGTGAACGATTCTGACGGAAAGACTCGAGGAACGAGATTGCGTGATTCGTTGGATAAGTTCGGATAAGTTCATCAGTGTCATCATCCTATTTCAAAATCCCTGTGTATTAGGCTGCGAATATAGCTGTTGTTAAATTTTTTTCGACGTTTCTTTATGTGTGTACCTGCCTGTGTGTTTGTGCCACGCAGCGCGTCTCTTACGTGACGTAAGAAGATCCATAAGCGTGACCATAAACGCGCCTTTGTAATTCGTCTTCTGCTTTCGCGTGTGGCTCACCTTCGGTGAGCGATCATCGTGCCAACCTGTCGCTCTCGGAAGTGGTGAACCTGCTGGGCCTCGCCGACGACGACGAGGTCCATGCGGGCACGTCGGAGGAGAATAGAAAACGCGCCTTGTGGCAGTTTTATTCCACGGGTATGCTCACCCACAGTCACAGCGACGGAGAGTTCCCGATCTACTCGCGGGGTAAGTGCGAAGATAAGCCGATCTTGATGCGAAGATATGCGAGATATGAAATACGATGCATAATGGTGGATGTTCTCGCGATAGATGATAACAGGCGGGAATTGGCCGACAGGCATTTCCCACATAAGTTGAAAAGTTTAAAGTAAAACTTTACCCGATTCAACAACAATCGAGACGGTCTTTTAATACGAGGCGTATTGATGAGTACCGGTATAAATAGCAGTGGAATCGATAGTTATAATTGCGCTGGCGATCGTTGCGCTTCGGCTCGACTCGTTGCGTCAACGAGCGAAAATCCATATCGTCTAAAAAACTATTCTCTTGCGCAAACATAAACACTATATGTGCGTCACGCCTGCATTTATAGAGCTTATGTATTTTTATATAGCGAGTGTTATAACGAACGCGGGCGCGGGTGTCGTACGCCTTTGTCGTATTTGTACAACGATATAATGAGGAAATCGATGAGGCAATTCGCGTACGGTACGCTATTTACACTTTTCGTTAGACAAATGAAATTGCCGTTGTCATATCGTAATTTTATCGGAAATAATACTAACTACGACTATCTATATAATTGATACCGACATTAAAATTATAAATTAATGAGGCAACAATTTATAATTTAAAATACAACGGCGTTTATGAATAATAATAATAATTCGGAGATAATTGCGCGTAGAGGGTTGTAAATATCCATAATTATTATATAGGAGGATAACAGACACATCGATCATGTTATATATAACACTTTATGTTACGAGTTATGTCGCGCAGAAGATAATGAATAAGTGAATCTCATTATTGTATAAAGAAGGATTAATTATTAGAATAACTCGTCACATATTAATTATATTGAAATATCAACATATGTCAATTAAGAGCAATAAAATAATCAATAATCGGTACATTGAAAAATAAATTCGGTACATTGAAAAATAAAAAATAATTATGACGTCATAACTTAGATATGCTTTGAATATTTTAAAATATTAATATTTTCGAAAAAAAATTTCTACATTGTGTGTATATATATATATATATATATATATATATAA